TAACCATTTTAAGTTTGTAGGAACCGATCTGTGAACTATAGAACCCATAGGAACCTATAGGAACCAGGTAGGAACCAATTTGGAACCAAATGGAACCAGTTTGTGCATGGAAGAGCTTGGAGATGGATTTTCGTTTGTTTTTGTGGTTTTTGGTGTTTTTGGATGTTGTTTGACCCATGTCTTAGGAACTTGATGTTGTGAACTTATTTGGTAGGAGTTTTGTAGGTTATTTGTGAGTTTGAGCTGAAGACGTTTTATTTGGAGAAGCTGGAAGAACGTTTTTGAAGCTTGAGAACTCTTTTGAAGTAGTTTGAGAAGTTTGAGAACGTTTGAGTGTCACTGCGTTTTACTCTGCACGACTCTTCTAAGAAGAAGAGTGACTGAGCTGTCAAACCTGTGTGGTTTGGCTCAAGTCCGAGCTGTGAAAAAGAGCTGCCACGCCGCTCTCGTGTTTTCACATGTTTGCTGGGCCGCTGACTGCCAGTTAGTTTCAATGTGCATAATTCAACGACACGGTGGGGTTTCTCTCCGTGTCCAAGGCAAATCCGGTTCTTGTGTGGGTGTTTCGTTTGTGGCTCCGGCCCCTTTCCTTGTTTGCTTCGCTCTTGTTTCTTGTTCGCGAAACGCCAATCTGCCGGGCGATTTGCGGGTGTGTTTTCCTCGTTTGTTTTGTGATTTGCCGAGGAGGTGGAACCGAGGAGTTTCATGATGTTTTTAATTTGTTTACTCGCTTATGATGTTAGGACCGCCTCAGAGCGAAATCGGCCGCAACAGAGGAAAAAAAGGCTGCAGCTTTTTTCCGCTGCAAACACATATTTTTTCTGCCTCACAGCTTTTTCTGGCTCAAACACGTGTTTTTTTCGCCTCATGTTTTTTCCGCATCGTGGCTCGTTTTTTCACCTCAAGTTTTTCATGTTTCCTAGAAAAATGTGACCGTCTTTCAAAATCTGACAGATAGTTTGCGAAGGGACTGGGATAATCTAGTCTTGCGGAATCTGCATTCAAAAAATATGTCTGTAAAATTTAAAATTTAGCTTCTGTTTCAATTTGTTAGCTTAATTTTAGAATCTTGGCCCTGGCAGTGAAAAGTTGCCATTTCGAGCAATTTCGAGGAGACTCGAGGAAACTTAAAGAAGCTTGAGGCGGCTTAGGAGACTTAATGCGACTTACGGCGACTGAGGGGACCCAAAGAAACTCAAGAGACTTGAGACAACTCAATTATTTTTTTTGGCTGTCGTGGTGGTTGTTGTTGTTGTTGTGGTTGTTGTGGTTGTTGTGGTTGTTGTGGTTGTTGTGTTTGTTGTGGTTGTTGTGTTTGTTGTGGTTGTTGTGGTTGTGGTTGTGGTTGTGTTGTTGTTGTTGATGTTGTTGTTGTTGTTGTTGTTGTTGTTGTTGTTGTGTTTTGTTGGTGTTGTTGTTTCGTGGTTGTGGTGGTTGGGGGGTTGTGGTGGTTGTGGTGGATTGTGAGTGGTGGTGAGGTGTGGCTTGTGGTTGTTTTGGTGGTGTGGTTCGGTTTGCGTGGTTGGGTGGTCTGTGGGAGTTGTTGGTTGTGGAGTTCTGTGGGGGGGTGGTTGATTCTGTGGTTGTTGTGGTTGTGGGGTGGTTGTTGGTGTTGTGTGGTTGTTGTGGCTGTTGTGTTGTTGTGGTTGTTGTGGTGTTGGGTTGTGGTGGTTGTTGTATGTTGAGTGTGTGGTTGTTGTGTTCGTAGCTGGTGTCTGGGTGGTGTTTGGTTATGTGGTGGTTGTGGTTGTGGTTGTGGTGGTGGTTGTTGTTGTTGTTGTGGTTGTTGTGGTTGTTGTGGTTGTTGTGGTTGTTGTGGTTGTTGTGGTTGTTGTGGTTGTTGTGGTTGTTGTGGTTGTTGTGGTGGTGGTGGTTGTGGTGGTGGTTGTGGTGGTGGTTGTGGTGGTGGTTGTGGTGGTGGTTGTGGTGGTGGTGGTTGTGGTGGTTGTGGTGGTTGTGGTGGTTGTGGTGGTTGTGGTGGTTGGTTGTGGTGGTGGTTGTGGTTGGTTTGTTGTGGTTGGTGGTTGTTGTGGTTGTTGTGGTTGTTGTGGTTGTTGTGGTTGTTGTGGTTGTTGTGGTTGTTGTGGTTGGTTGTGGTTGTGGTTGTGGTTGTCGTCGTCGTCGTCGTCGTCGTCGTCGTCCTCCTTGTCGTCGTCATGGTTGTCATCGTTGTGCGCTACCCATGCTCCTCATGCTGCACATATTGTCCATGCTGCCCATGCTGCTGCGGGTGGTGGTGGTGGTAATGGTGGTGATGGTGGAGGTTGTAGTGGTGGAGGTTGCGGCGGTGGTGGTTGTTCTTGTTGTTCTTGTTGTTGTTGTTGTTGTTGTGTTCTTGTGGTTGTTGTCGTTCTTCTGCTTTTTCTTCTTCTTTTTGCCGTTCTCGCTTGTATCCACTTCCGTTGAAACATGTCGCTGCGTCCACCGCTGCACGTTTCAACTTTTCAGTCGCGGACGGTTGTTTCAATGTTTGGTCGCCTTTGTCACCTATTTGTCCATGCGCTATCCAGCTTACAAGTGGCGAACGCCCAGTGTATGACTCTACGTTCTCTAGCTCCTTGTCTTTGCGCAGCGCGCGAAAAACACAGGTTCGCAGCAGGAAAAAAACATCGGAACGGAAAAAAACACGTTTGGCAGCAGGAAAAAAACGCCTTGCAGCGGGAAAAAGGTGTTTCCGCAGCGGGAAAAAACGCCAGCAAAAAATGCCGCTTCGCAGCGGGAAAAATTCAAAGCAGCAGAAAAAACACCTTGCAGCAGCACAAAAGCACCTTTGCAGCAGAAAAAATGCATTTTGGAGGCAGCGGGAAAAAACCGTCCGAGGCGGGAAAAAACCCGTCCGAGGCAAGAAAAAAACCGGCCGAGGCAGGAAAAAAACCAGCAGCAGAGAAAGTCCAGCTTTGCAACCGAAAAAGTTGCCGCAACGAAAAAAATACATGTCCGCAACGGGAAAAAGCAGCAGCCCAAAAAAAAAGTCTATCCTCAGACTACACTCACTCACTGCCGCGTAAGAACTAACCAAGTTGGCTCCCAACTGGATGTTACTTTTGCATCATGCGATGCAGCTTTGACTGGAAATGGTGAAACCTACGGACGATATGTTTCCATTTTCTTGACTTTGCAGAAATTGGACGATGTTTTTGTCTTTGTCGTTTTTATCTTAAAAAGGTGACAGGTCAACAAGAGACAAAGCAACACGTGCAGAGACACCTCGCTTGTGTGTGGTGTGAAAGTGGCTGAGCTCTGGGAACGACCGACTTGGTTTTGTGGACCTGTTTGTGCTCTTTAAGGACGACGTCCTTGCCGCTGACCCAGGTAGTCTGGAGGTTTTGAAGGTTTGCTACCTTCTACAATATCAGATAATTACAGCAATGAGCCTCAGTTGGATGCAATTGGTGATGATAGTGACAAGATGATATCTGGAGAGATGAGGAAATCTTGCAGTTTTTCAATGTTCCTGAAGAAGTAAGTTGTCTTGAAGTTGAGATACAATGTTTGCTGGCATGGGAGTTTCGCAAAAGTGTTCTAAGTTTGAAGGTGAAATCAGTGGAACTTTTATCATAATGATGTTGGTGTGACTGGCGATTGAAAACATATGATGGTGACAACAGCTTGTTTAAAAAGGTGAAACAAAACGTTGGATGCCGTAGCAGATATGTTGCAAGAGAATTTGCAAATAACAAACGTGATGATTTGGAGTCAAGCGAGTTAGCAAGATGTTGTCCCAGTGAACTTACATGGAACTGAACACGTTGAGCTGCGCAACCTTCCTGGTCAAAGACGGTGCAAAAGCATGGTACTGGTATTTTAGAGAATATGTGACAAGCAGCATGAACTTCCAATGGTGTTCGATTCAACCTTGTCTTGCAAAATGTGAAGGAAATGTTTTCATGGTGCACGTTGACCATTTGCTCCTCACAGGTAGCCGAGAGTTTTGAACTTAGAAGTTTCTGCCAACAATGCAACAGAAGTTCAGTGTGAGTCACCAAATGCGTGGTGGGACAGGAACTGAGATCAACTTTCTGAAAAGACGGCTTGTGATGTTGAGCGATGGAATGATGATAGTGCGAAGAACGTCAGCAGCATAAGTGGTTGAATGTTTTGAGAAACATTTTGGTCATGCTCGTGTTCAGAAGGTACCCTGTGACTCAGCTTTGCAACAGGAGGACAATTCTTAGAAACTCACACCAACAAATGTAAAAAACTTTCGAAGCGTGATTCGACTTCTTCTTTACCTTTCACGTGACAGGGTCGATATCATGTTTGGTGTCAAAGAGCTTGCGTCAGCTGTGTCCTCACCATCTCTATGCTCAGTACAAAGACTTCGAAAGCTGATAGGGTTCATCAAGTACACGGGTGAGATAGGTGTCAAACTGCCATTTCCAGAACATGGTGTTGGAAAGTTCAAGCGGGGACAGAAGCGTTTTGGTTTCTTCAGACCAACACAGATGCAGACTGGAGCTCAAACAAGGCACACAGGAGAAGCACTAGCTGCTCAATCCATTTTGTGAATGGATGTTTTGCCTACGGGTCAAGTCGTTCATAGAAGGTGGTTTCATTGTCATCGGCCGAAAGCGAACTGCATAGCATGATTGGTGGTTGCTGCGACGGAATTTTCATCAGAAACTGTCTATAGTTCCTTTTGTCAGTGGATGTTGAGCACCACCAACTTACAGACAATTCAGCGGCCCGACAACTGATTTCCAGACAGGGAGTTGGAAAAATCAGACACCTTTCAGGAAAACTTCTGTGGATGCAGTCAAAGGTTTTGGATGGAGATGTCATCATCCACCAGGTACCAACTCTTTGGAACTACAGTGATGTTGGAACGAAAAAACCCACCTCGCTCCAGACAACTGTTTCTGCTTTGTGGGATTGGTATGGTGGAAACTGATACAGCTGAACCGCTTGGACTGGAAAAATACAACAGTGTGGCAGAACAAGAAACAAACAGAAAAGAGATCAGCAAGCTGACAAAGACGTCGAAAAGAATATCAGTACTCATGACAATGCAGGGCCTTTCGCCGGTGGTTGCAGAAGGTGCTGAGACGAGCGATTTGCAATGTCCCAGCACAAGCATCGAGGCGGTCGAGCGCTATGAGCATTTTGGAATGTGGATCGTGACTTTCACTTTGCTGGTCCTTTGGTTTCTTTTTGCATACATGGCATGGTTTGCATGGAGAAAAATGCAAGACAACTTGAATACGTACGGAGAGAAACTGGAAAAGGCGGAATGGGATTTGTACCACTGCTGGAACCAAGTTGGAGATGAGGATAACTATATTGCCCAACAAACTTCAAGGATCGATGGACTCCACAACCAGTTCATGATGATGGATGGACGTCTTACAGAAGCAAGCAATGAGGCGTCGATGAGTCATGACTATATAGTTGGACTTCATTATTCAGTTGTGGAACTGGGTGGATTCTTGCGTTTTCCGTTTGGAGTTGAACCAAGCCACTTGATTTCCATGGGAACTCAGGAAAGAGCCAATCTGGTAGCTTTGAATACCATGGGTTCAGGGCAATATCTTAACCTTGTGAGGCAATGTGCGTTTGTGGAAGCTGGGGAGACAACTGACATTCAAACGAGTGCAAACCAGAATACCGAGGAAACAGCCGAGAGTGAGGAAGGCACGGAAGATGAAATCACAGCAGCGAGGCCTTTACAAAACCTTGACATGGCGAGCATGCTAGAGGAGTTGAAAATAGAGGTCAAGATAGCTCTTCAAAGGGAGGAACCACAGGATGCAGGGAGACTTCAACACATGATGTTACAAATGTTGGAGGATATCAGAAGTGGAGTGACAGAAGGTACGGTGCAAAACTACAGCACGAGGATTGGAGATCTGTTCTTCCAGTTGTCAGAAGTGGCAACGCGTCAGGACAGACTGCAAAGTAGCCTTTACTATGGTCGAAGATGCGCACAGTTCAGAGGAGATGCATGACAAAACTCAATGGATTTTTGTGTTGTGAACGTTCAGCAAAGACATGGCTGAGCGCGCGCAAAAGTTTCAAAAATGTGGAACGGCATTGAGAGCGGCACGCGTACGCTTCACAATTCCGAGGAGGAGCGCGAATCATTTTTGACAGCACTTTGCACCAGGATGACATGCACAAATCATGATGAGAAGTGTAACAAGTTTCATCCACTTACATGGCAAACCCATGTACGTATCTTAAGGCCCATTGTGGTTCGAGAAAAGCGCGCTCCCGCTCACAATCCAAAAAAATGTGACCACATGATGTTTTGTGTGGATCAATGCCTGGACCAGTGCGGGCAAATTGTTGTTCATGAATAAAGCCTATGATTGATACTGACAATGTTCACTTGAAATAGTTGGCTTTGTTTTTTTTACATTTGGTAGATAAATGCTCGAAAAAGTGGTATTTCAATCCTATAATGTAGAGGTAAGAACGGAAACGACAATTTTTTAAACGTCCGAACATGCTAACATTCGATTTTCGGACACAAAATCAATTATATAATTATTTACCAAAATTTGTTGATGAATTGTGACGAAAAACTATGCAATGGACACTTTGATTTCGCAATTTTGATTTCCAAAATATTGAAAAAACATGAGCACATGATAGTTTGTTTTCATGAAATGTGTTGCCAAAATATTTCGCAGATGCAGTGCGTGCAAAAATTGGAAACCGATTTCACCACTTAAATTCAACCGCATTTTTTGTTTGGTACCTTGTGGTCATAATTTTTTGTAAACATACTATCCCAAAAATCATTTTTAAGTGGTGGTTCATAATTTGGGTCTACCACATTGACGTTTGAACGACATTTTCACCTTAACAAATCGCAGTTTTCATTTGGCTTGGAGCGGTGCAGCCATTGCGACCATGGGTTGTGGCACTTCTCAGCAAACCACTGTGCCGGGGGCGCTCCCACAAGTTTCTGTGCAAGCGACATTTGTTGGTGCCAGTGGCAATGATGCGAAACATGTCGCGGTGATTTTACCTGGCGGCTATACTAAATTGATGCAGCCCAACGAGAAGTACCACTATCATATTTTGGAAACTCGGACAGACTTAATCTCTTCCACTTCATCCACAATGCTGGATAAGAACACTTTCATCCGGCAAAACAATACAAAGGATATATAAGGAAATCAACGCATGACGGTGCACAGATTCATGTGAAATATGGAATTTTGCCAGGCAAAATTGTTTTTTTTTGGCAGAAAATCCTGTTTTTTTTTCAGGCCCAGCCTAAGTATGCCACTTTTGGAAGTGGTTTCCCATCCTGGAGCTAAGATGAAGATGATGGTAATCAGTAATATTAGGATTTGGACCCCAGACACCCATCCTTGCCTAAGTATGAAACATATTGTTTTGGAACGACTTCAAACTAAGGCTGTAAGCAAGAAAATATGGGGATGAAAACATGATTTGAGCGAATTTCACCAGCAAAATACAAAGAAACTGATCTATGATGGGATATTCTCCAATTCTTTTCGACGATGAAAACTGGGATTTCACATGATTTGATCCAGGCGCAAGACACTTACAGCATGGGCCAACCCCTGAAGTTCAACGTGGATTCCTTCGTGGAATCGGCTATCCAGTATTGCAAGAAACATAAGATCCAGGCGCAGAGGGCCAAGGCTACCCTGGTACTGGGCCAATGGTGTGGTGATATAATGGGTATATGATGGTATAAACATGGTGAAAAACCCATCAAATCAGTAGGGATACCCTGTTGCATGGTTCTTGAAAAGGGGCTTCTTATTCCATGGTTTATGGGCGAGTATGACATCACCCACCCAACACATCACTTGGGACACGTGGCCCGTACAATTCTATGGTCAAGGAATGTCAAGGATACATTTCGTGGAAAACTGGATGTTTTCCGCCAGGGGGTCTTTGGCTTCGACTGCTTTCCAAGTTTGATTGCGTCCATCATCAGCACGTGCCTTGGCCGTAAACAACGCTGCCTTGGTTGCCTTGCCTTGGTTGCCTTGGAATCCCCAATCTGCAGTCCTTGGCAGGTCGCTGGGACTGCAGGGGCCGTCCTTTCGCAGCGTCTTCCATTGCATCAGTAAGTACTACATGAGGCCCGGCACACGCCATGGTGACAGAAACCTGTGTGTTTTAAAGTGTTTTAGTGCGAAACTCATGGGCAATGTATAGTCACTATAGTCTTTTGCCATCTTGATGGGGGTCTATAGACTACCCAGCTATCTGAGGTTGACCACGTTTCAAGGCAATTTTTCATAGGAACAAGACGAATTCAGCCGGCTTGATGGTTCCAACAAGTCCTTAGTCTGCGGCAGAGCATGTGATGCCAGGAAGGAGTTGTCTCCAGAAGTTCCAATGACCAAGTTGGAACCCTTGTCGTCTCCTGCTCCACCAAAGTCCTTCCCAGTGGTTGTGAAGGAGAAACTCGGAGCTGGGAAATTCTATTGTGACCTTAACGGCCGACCAGAAATGATGATGGTTCAACCGGTTAGGGAAGCCACCCCAAAATTTCCATAGATTTCCAGGTTGCAGCCTCGATTCGTTTGTGGGGCTGGGGGAAAACCTTCTACCCATCAAGATCAGGGCAGCCAGTAATGTGAGCAACCCCCAACAGGTGGTTGAAAAGTGAAAAGACCTGGAAATTACGGGGGAAATCATTTTTTGTGGGTTAGTAAGTATCGGATATCTTAGCTGACAGAGGATGGATCTGGAGGCGCTGGGTTGAACTTTCAGAGATTTTCAGGGAGATTTAGGGGTTTGACAACCACTACATATATATATATATATATACATACATACATATATATATATATATTTCTTGGCAGTCCACTTTTTGGGATTGATTCCTAGTTTATTGTCAACATTCCAATCTTGTTCGTGTCGGTTGCAACTGGAAAAAAATATATATCTTTTTTTAAGGATCCTTTTTCGTGTATCTGAGTGTATCCTTTGCGCCGCCGAACAAAGGATCGATTGCCAATTCTACATAGGCACTTGGATCATCTACAGTGTGGAGCAATGGGAGCAGACAATGAAGCACCTGCAGCAACGGAACCAAGCCGAACTGGATGCGAGGAAAAAGTTCTCTCCATTGCACAGATTTTTTCTCTCTCTCTTGCCAAAAGAAAAACTCAATCCAGAATCTTCAGGATTTTTTTTCATCATTTTTGTACAAGTGAACTGACCATGAACCGGGATATTGACTGTTGGTCCCAGAAAAGTTGTGATTCTTACAGCTATTCAACATTTGTAACATCCTAGAAACCAGGTGAAACCAGGTGAAACCAGGTGAAACCAGGTCCACAAGTGTCGGTAAACCTCGGTGGATCAGAGGTTTTACTTCAAGTGGTTTCAAAAGCTTCACCCGATGCTTGGCGTTTTCCGAGACAACTTGAGACCTGGGTGACCTGGGAGAGACAACTTCTTCTTGTGGCTGTGTTATCAGCCATACCTTGAGAGCGCATACTTCGCTGATGCACACGTGCTTTTTTAAGGAATGATATGCCAGAGTCCCGATGGGAAGATTATGTGCCTGGCCATTTTCGTGCCATTTTCATCGTTTTTCTTGGGAACGGGGAGAACTCAGGGTCTAATCTGGGCTGATGATCCTTACTTGCCACATTGTCCGAGATTGCTCAAGCACTGGATTTCAGGACAAATGTTTGTGCCTTTGGCAACTGGCACCTCAGCTTCTGAAAAAAATGCCCCTAGGAACCCTTGGATAATAGTTTTTTTTTTTTCCCCCGGATCATCACTTTCCCGATTGGAATGCCATTTTTTTGGGTATATCACGGTATATCCCAGTTTCCGACACTTATATGGGCCAATGAGGTGCTATATCATGTGGAGCCCTTCTTTGAAGGACGAGAGCAACAGATTGAAATTGTCCTGGAACAAGACAATCATTTGTTGCTCGCCCATGGTGGATGTTTTGATCCCATCGACCAGATCGGATCGCAAGGTATGGACCATGTTTTCACCATGGTTTTCACCACGACATGGAGAGAAAATGAGGTTGGTGGCTGACACCGGGGACATCATCAAGGAGAACGGTATCATTGTGTCTTAGCTTTGTAGAACCTGTGTGTGACAAAAGGGTGCCTTTGAAGACTTGAAACCATGTGGTTTTGCATTGTGATTCTTACTGTATGGATGGCCAACATTCTTTCGCTGTTTGTTGTTCTTAAACAGATATTGAAAGAGTATATCAACTCAAATGAACTGTAAAACTTGTAAAACTGTTTCAATATTTGTGTTGAAACTGTTTACTGTAAGTATCTATAGAAAGGGTCGCAACAAGATGGAAACGTGTTTCCACGATATTTTGGATGATGTTTCCTCAGAAATTCCCGGTTTCTAACTTTTCTATGACTGGGGTTTCCTCTATTTAACTGCAGTGAACCAACCATCACACCACCTTTGGCCGCAGCCACTGAGACCATGTTTGTAACGCCTGGCTCCTTCGATATCCCAACTACTTGGGCACACAACATCACCAAGAAACTGCATGCCATGGGCTACAAGAATCAGGTGCGCCCTCGGCCTTGCATTTCTCCCCGGCCCTGGCCCAGAAATGCGGGTGGACATCCAGCTATACTTGTCCAATGTTGATGTGAACAGAAGGGTACCAGGCTTTTGACCTACGGCAATTCCTTTGTATCCCAAGTTACTGCAGAAAGAAATCACATGGGGATCATGACTTCGCCACATCATCTCAACCACAGCGGAGGGCTGCATCCAAAGCCATTCCCGTGCCGAAGTGATGTAGATGAAGTGACGAAACTTTGGAATCTGGATTGGTTCAAAAAATTGGGACATGATCCTGAAATCCACTGGCTTATCATATCATCGATTATGGATGGGCCATTTTGGACCCCCATTTCAGTTACACCCGGTGGCATCCGAACCTCCAAATCGCCAGGCCATCGATTTGGAGTTCATCTCAACTCAAGATGGTCCACAAGTCGTCGAGATCAACAGCAGATATAGCCGCTGAGCGCAGATGCCATACCTTTTTACGTAAGGAACCTAATAGTGACTGCATCTTTCTCTCTCTTTCTCTATGATACATGTACTGTGTATTATATTTGTACATGATACAATTGTTTATATGTTTTCCTGGACGTTTTGCTGCTGGGTTGTGTTTTTTCTTTTCCAACTACGCATGTTTTGGAGTCATGACTTTTTGACAGGGAATGCACCGTCACAGCTTGCCATCCAAAGTTTTAGGTGGTTGGTCAGCCATTTCAGCCTGTGATGTGAAAACACTTTGATTGGCGTGGACTTTTTGCACTGATTCTTAAAAGGAAGAGAGAATTTCCTCTACCTATCAATGCTATGGACATCTATGGACCTATAGGACCTATAGGACCTATAGTAAGGGCTCAGCCAACAAGTTAATCCCCATCTGACCCATCACCAGTTTTCCTAACAACGCGCTCAGGTTACATGGGTTTTGCTTCTTGGTGACCTGCTGCAAGGAGAATGTACATGTCAAATAACCCAAAGCTGGTGATCAGAAGAGAAATAAATACACCACAATTCAGATTTTCTGTAATTGTTTACCCGAAGAACATACATAGAGCATATTTGTTATAAGTGTTATACATTTCCCAGTTTGGCCGTCCTTGAATGTAATTGATGAGTGGTGCCCTGATTTGACTGAGCCTCATGAAAAACAGACCCTTGGAGGAAGTCTCGTAGTGGACTCCTGAAAGCCGAGAGCCCCTACTACTTACAAGTTGAAAATGATGCAAAAACAACTCCAAGGTCACCCAAGTGGATAGTGGTGGATATATACAAGTCCCTGTATTTCTGATAGCGGTCCATCACTTGCTGACCGGAGATTTCATTGCTTTCAAGCCAGCTCTTGTCAAACCTACATGGAGAACCCAAAATGCAGAGCTCTTAGGTGCCTTTTTGGAAAGTGGGGCGAAAACCGGAGCAGACCTTGAAATTGGTAGAACAGTCAATTAGCATAATTCATTGATTACTTTTATAGGTGTGTTACCAATGCTGGTTTCGTGGTTTCAAACATTTTTTCTATTCTCAACCATATCTGATATTGTTCAGGGAGGTTGAAAGCAACAGCAGGCTTTACTGCAATGCCCCTGACTTCCGGGTGGGAGAACTAGGTACTCAGACCATTCCGAGAAAGGCGCGTTGCTCAGCAAACCGGACTTGAGGAACTTGGAAAATCGCCGCTGAGCAGCAAGCGTTTCGGATCATCGTGGCCTTTCTTGTTTGGGGGTGCATAGACACATATCAAAAGTCAATTCCTGCTATTTTGGCGGTGGTTTGCTATTTCATCTGCAGGATCGCTGTGTACATGTACACATTGCTTGGAGGAGTTGCAGATGATGCAGATGATGCAGATGATGCAGATGATGCAGATGCTGCAGATGATGATGATGATGATGATGATGATGGTGATGCTGATGGTGATGCTGATGGTGATGGTGATGGTCATGGTGATGGTGATGGTGATGGCGATGATGATACTGGTGATGGTGATGATGATGATGATGATGATGATGGTGATGCTGATGGTGATGCTGATGGTGATGGTGATGGTGATGGTCATGGTGATGGTGATGGTGATGATGATACTGGTGATGATGATGATGATGATGATGATGAGATGATGATGATAATGATGATGATGATGATGCTGATGATGATGATGATGATGATGATGATGGCGGTGGCGCCGGTGGTGGTGGTGGTGGTGGATGACGGATAGTGAATGATGAATGATGAATGTACGGGTTTGAGCCACCACCCCAGAAGTTGGGGACTTACGAACCACACAACCAGTAGAATCGAATAGGACTCACCAGCTGCACCTTTGTCATGAAATCTTGTTGTCTTGCCATTTGTTCGCAAGTTGCTTGCATTCTCAAGATTGATAATGATTGATATTTGGTCTCAGAGAGGGATGCTTGTTAAAGTTGAGATCAGGGATCAAAGGGTTTCAGTGTTCTGCTGCTTGTACACAATTGTTAACAAGATAAACAGGTGAGTTGTCTGAAATATAACATATGGCACCTTTACTATTGACACGTACGAACATCACCAAGTCCACACAGATCAACCAGCAGGTTGCGGAACCAGTTCAACCTCCTATCCGAGGAACCTGTTCCTGTTTGGGCCAGCCATGTCCGCGCTTCCCATCGGATGAGAACATTATCAGCAAACTGGCTGTGGCTGTATACACCAACAAAGGAGGTCCAGTCGAGGACACTGTGACTGCTGCCACTGCTGCCACTGCTGGTGTGACTTGGTGGCCTGGGATGGAAATGGATGTGAGATTTTGCATGTTGTGAGCGGGATTCACACGCACACTGAGTTGGATGTTCCCTGCGAGAGAGCTGGGCAACAAGTTGTGGCCCGTCATTTGTACATATCGTACAGTTTTGGGGTGCAGGATATCGTGGATTTGGAGTTCTTGAAGAAGTACCTGGCGGAAGGTCATGCGGAATGTTGGACCCCAAAACCAGCTTTCAAAGCAGGTGCCTGCAGACGGGGGATGGGCGTCTGGATCTTCGATTCGTGGCTCAGGGTGACATCAACTTTTGGGTACCTGGGTACCCCCAGTTCTGACCTCCATCTAGAAACGATCCAAGCAGAAAATTGAAATTTGGGGATGAAGGATGCTCCAACTGATGCTGCAACACGTCAGATTAGAACCTCATGTCACTTATGTCGCTGGCTTGACACAGCTTCCCACTAGTGTAGAAAGATGTGGGTCTCTGCCCAGGCAATGTGGGTCCGGAGGACGGCGGAACGTGTGGTTGTGGGATGTGGGTCCACCATAAGGCAAAAGTTTTTTGGGCAAAGGATCTTCAATCTAGATTCTTCGACAGCTCGGGCCTGTCCGGGAAAATGGCAGGAGTTCACCTATGGAGGTGGCAAATGGGCCAAGTTGGGCTTCATGATGCTCACGGCCAAGAGGGTGGAGTGGGCCGAAACCAACGCCAAGTTAAAGGTGGTCCCAGCAGTCCTGGGTGGAGCTGTGGACTGGGACTGGGGCCCATAGACACTTTCAATCGAAGTGAATCATTCCTGAAATGTTCCGATAAAGAGAACATCCTAAACGGTTTGCTCTCCTGCTTCGGTTGGGCATGACGGTACCTTCATGATTTCAGATTGTGACAGATAGATACTGAACGCCAGCTGTGAGGGTATAGGCCACGATTTTATTTTCTCCACCAAATTTGACAAACCGCTTTTAAATTCCAGATCTCCGGTGTTGATATCCCCATGTTATGCCATGTTCATTTCTTCAATCTTCTTTTTTTGCTGTTTTTCGCTCCCGATCTGCATGATCTGTATCGGTTTTCGCCCTTGCCACATCGGTCCCAGAGTCCCAGAGCATCTGAAGTCGATGAGATGCGACAGGCGATGTTCGAGAAACTCTTCAAGCATCCAGGCTCATATCTGTTGGCTCAGGCCGGTTTCAATGGGTTTCAGGCAATGGCAATCTCAGGCCATGGCTTAAGGGAAAATGAAGAACAAAAACTCGCTTGATTTTAGGGGTACCCAGAGGGCGCCAAACCCAGTATATAATACAGTGCAGAAACTAGTATCCAGAAATAAATCGCTTCATTGCATGGATATGTCAATCTGTTTCCGACCTTCATTTGTTGCCCATCCGAGTGGAACCGTGTCATGTCCTTGCAGCACAGGATGATGAGATTGGGCACGAAGTGGACAAGCACGCACTTGACTATTGAGATAGAGCTGCAACGACTGAACCCAGCTGCCTTTTTGTGCTAGTCTCGACCTTGATATCCAGCAGCAAGAAGTGCATTCTCAATAACATATAGTGTTTCATTTATATAACGGAATTGCAGCTGAATCCCCCCCAAAAATACATTATATTATATTGTTCAGCAAATTTGGTAAGTTTCAGCATTTTGCGAGACTAAATTTGAAACACTGACGCAGCACACATTGCAGTGTGCTGCTCAAAGCCCCTTTGAAGAGAGGTGAAAGCCTCTCAGAACTTGAGTGATGTGAGCCTCCCAGTCATTTTGATGGGTTCTCAACACTCCCAACTAGGGTTAAAATTGGCTTGTTAATGTATCAGCGGAAACTGATAGTGGGTCATACAGGCTCATACACCCCCAGAGATATGTACTTAATTCTTGTTCATGGTTCGACTTGTATTCCTAGCGAAGAAGGGTTTGTCCAGAAATCGATTACAGACACACACACACATATTATATATATACACATACATACATACATACATACATACACATACATACACATACATACACATACATACACATACATACACATACATACACATACATACACATACATACACATACATACACATACATACACATACATACACATACATACACATACATACACATACACATACACATACATACACATACATACACATACATACACATACATACACATACATACACATACATACACATACATACATACATACATACATACATACATACACATACATACACATACATACACATACATACACATACATACACATACATACACATACCACATACATACATTACATTACATTACATTATCATTACATACATTACATTACACTACATTACATTACAGTACATAACATAACATAACTTACATACATACATACATACATACATACATACGTACATACGTACGTACATACGTACATACGTACATACGTACATACGTACATACGTACATACGTACATACGTACATACGTACATACGTACATACGTACATGCGTACATACGTACATACGTACATACGTACATACGTACGTACCTACGTACCTACATACAAACATACAAACATACAAACATACAAACATACAAACATACAAACCAACAAACATACATACATACATGCATACATGCATACATGCATACATGCATACATGCATACATGCATACATGCATACATGCATACATGCATACATAAATACATGCATACATGCATACATGCATACATACATACATGCATGCATGCATACATGCATACATGCATGCATGCATGCATACATGCATCCATCCATGCATGCATGCATGCATGCATACATACATACATACACACATACACACACATACACACACACATACATACATACATCCATACATCCATACATCCATACATCCATACATCCATACATCCATACATCCATACATCCATACATCCATACATCCATACCATACCATACCATTACATTACATTACATTACATACATTACATTACACTACACTACACTACATTACATTACAGTACATACCATAACATAACATAACTTACCTACATACGTACGTACGTACGTACGTAACGTACGTACATACATACATACATACATACATACCACCCATCACCAACATCCCAAACACCCCACCACCACGGGCCACGGGGGGGGAACTATAAGAAGCAAGACTGAACACCCATCCCCATTGGGGGGGGCTGGCCGACGCTGAACCATATTATATATATATGTATGTATATATATATATGTACGTATACACTTGACGGCCATGAAAAAAGTAGGAAGAAATCAGGAAGTCCAAAGTCTACGATTTGTAGGGCCTGGCTTTGGACATATCTGGACCTGATAACTGGGAGTTAGGGATCCATCTGCTCTCGGCCAAGTCGGAGAGCTGCAGCTTCCCTCTCAGGAAACCTGTGCAGAGGGCAATGCTAACTTTTTGCGAGAGAAAAAGGATGAAAACAAATTGAAATCTATTGTTCAACTGCAGTGTTTCAGGCTTATTTCATCTGAAATAGTTGGCATTATCTTTATCTGACCCCAAGATGGGTACCACGAAATGGTGGCTTTCGGCCCGTTGGGTGGGCTTAAAACCTTCATTTCTGGCGCAGCACATTTTTGTTCTCAGCCCGCCAAAGCTGGGCCAAAACGGGCACATCCTTGAGCCCAGTGCCTGTGGCCAGATTGATCAAAGGATAGGATGCTGGTAAAAAAAAATGAAGCGGGAACTGTTGTTCGCTACTGTTTGGGATGGATTTGGTCTTTAGACTTGGACTGCAGGCATCTCCCAGAGTGTTGAGAGAAAATTCCAGTTTTGACTCCTCATCAAAAACGCCGAACTTGGGTACAGTACTTTCATGTGTTCTGGGCGAAATCTTGCTCCCATTTTTGGGTGTCTGGATGACCAACGGAACTGTTCGTTGGGCCTGGCGATTGGTGCCAGGTACCCTGCAATGATCTTCAGTACGGGCCTAGAGGTTGCCCAGTTGCTGGCACAAAGGTGGGAGAAATCCGGTCGGGAACTTGCACCCATTTTTCTGTGATCGCCTCATTGGACCTCAAAGAAAAATGGGTCGCTGGTGTGCCATGACACCGTCCCTGATCTTTTTGAATCTGATCCGTGGCATTCCAAGGGTATACAGCGCAGGTGTGTTCTCGGCGACCTCGTTGATCTTTTGTTTCCAGAGCCGGCGATGAGCTTCAAGGCTGTGACCGTCCACGCAGGGCATGTGACACAGTCAGTGGGTCACTACGCTGATCCATTTTTGTGAGTTGTAGCTGTGTAGCTATGTGTAACTAAGTCACGGATTTTTTTTGAACGGGATCACCCTAAAAATAGTGCATCATATGTCAATTGAGCAGAGACACTGGTCATGTTCTGGGCGAGGATTGTGCGGACGTGCTTCCACTGTGACAACCGAGTCTGCTGTGCCCTTGCCGTGTTTGGGGCCAGGGTAGGTTGGAGTCCACTTGGGTGTGCTCAAAATGTGCAAAATGGTTTTTGTTAATAGGGCAACATGAAAACATGTCAGTATGTCCTAATTCAAACATTGGAACTATGCCAAGAGTTTTGCATCCGTTATTTTTCCAAAAATTTGGATCAACCATCCTCTTTCCTGTCAAAGTGAACATGACATTTTGATCATATCAAATTTCAGGCCGATAAAAAAGAAACTGCAGCACCTGCAGCATGGAAGGTCCAGGAAATTCCAGGTGTGACGCGTCAAGCGTGGATCGCGGATTCAGGTGATTCGGCAGATTTGGTCCCACACTTTGGACCGCACGTGGATTGTCCGGTCGGACTGCAGAAGTTTCTGGATAGCAACGATCAAATTTGGATGAACATGGTTTTTCACAAAAATGGATCTGGGTCAAAATGGAAGACCTAGGGGACCACAGATGTTAGTCTAGTTTAGTATTCACCATCCAATTATTGGGGTACCTAATTTTGACCCATACCCAAATGATGAAGAGCTAATTAGCAGCTAATTCAAAGAGTGGTTTGGTATGGGGGTAGCCATACCATCACCATCACCGTAACTTATCGAGCTGTGGCTCAGGGCGCCAGGGTGGAGACTGGCTGCTAAAGGCCCCATTTGGTTTGATGATTTTCCCATTCGAAGACCTTATGACCATTGGGGGTTATGGTACCTTATTGTTGACCTTTTATTGATGGTAATGAGTTTAATAGATCTTATTACCATACCTATTGAGATTTTCCCAATAAAACCTGAAGATCCTTAGGAGTCAAAATCGGAGATTTCCCATTGCCATTTTGATTAGCGATGGGTATGTTTGTGCCAAAAATGATCTCCGGAATTTGCAAAACAAAGTGGTGGACCTGAAGCGATTTTCAAGAGTATTACTAAATTATTACTATCATTTTTTATTTACTGTACTGCTATGTTTGTTTACCATTTGCTACTATTATATATGTATATATATATATAAATTGATATTTTTGTATTGTCACCACTCTTATCATTCTGATTACTACGGTGGGTATCACTATGAATCCTAGTATTGTTACTGCAGGTAGGTTGGGGTCGTCATGGATTTTCAAAGTGGTAAGGCACTTCTGTTCATTTCCCATTTTTTGCTCAAGGTCCACCACCTTAAGATTTTGACCGGATGGATAAAAACCACCAAGCACCACAGTTCCTGACTGCAAATGTGGGCTGTGTCTCAGTTTTTGGAGGATGGCCCTGATGGCCCAATGAATTAACATATTTAACATGGGAAAATATCCCAACGACCATTACTGTTATCATTACTACTATTTGCGAAGAGCATCCGATCTCATGTCCACACATGGAAATCATGAAAACAACCTTTTATTCAGCCATTGTTATAATGAAAGGCGAGCCAAATTATTGGGACATATTGCCAGAACCACTCAACAAGACCCTTTACGTCAAATCTCCTTTCAACCAAATTCAGTGAACCGCGTCCCATATGGAAAAAAGAGGCACGGTAGACCAAGGCAAAACTGGTTGCATTACACCAAAAAATATATATACGAAGAAAAACTGCATCAGATTAACTATGAAGAGACCGTTCAAGAGGATGCACGTATATTCAATGCAGCCAATGCTAGATACTTTTAACAAAGCAGGCACGTTTGGCTATGCCTACGCCTTGCTTCCGCTTTTGACATGTCGTAGCAGGGTAGGGCAGCAAAAAAAAAAAATACTACTATTTACTACTATTTACTACTTATGTATTATTCTTGCTATTGTCCTTACGACAGCTTGTTCTGAGATGATCACCATCACCGAGGACAGGGAGCGCTCGGACCTTGAGCTGATGCCACGCGAGCCGGAGATGTCGGGTCCCGAGCCAATTCTCACAGCTATTCTGGGTAAAAATCAGGGTAAATCGTGGGAAAGTCTTGCCTGAAATTAACACATGGGAATTACCAATGACTACAACTTGGAAACCAAGAGCATCTAAAAAGGTCAATGCTGAACAAAAGAGTGACATAATTTCAAACTACCTGCTGTCCCCTCCATATTCTTGAAGAATAATTATTAACCTGCCATTTGCCA